GGCGCGGGTACTTCCCGAGGCTGCCCGCCGCATCTTCGGCCGCTTCGGCCTCCCAGGGCTCGACGGGCCGCGCCGCGGGCGGCGGCGGCGGCGGCGGGCGGTCGGCGGACGCCGCCGCCGGGAAGAGGGCGGCCAGGCCCCGATCCACCCCGGGTCCTTGCGCCAGCTTGCCGGGCCCCGCGGCCGCCCCAACAGCGCGGCCAACTTCTCCGAGCATGATGGGATCATGCGCCCGTCGGGCCACTTCTTCTGGTTTCCGTTGGCCCGCGCGGTCTTCAGCCGGTTCCCTGGGTCGCGCTGTCGCGGCCCACGGCGTCCTTCAGTCGCCGGCCCAGGCCTGGCGGAGGCGGCGCGGCAGCACCTTCGAGGGCGAGAGCTGCTCGTCACTGCCGCTGGCGGGGAGTGCCGCGAAGAGCGGCCGCGGAAGCAAGAGCAGCCAGGTCCACGCCGCCTCGCTCGTGGAGTTCTCCGTGACTGCGCGGAGTGCCGCGGCGAGCACGTCCGCGACCGCCGTCGCGAAGGCCGGGGGCGTCGCCGCCCACGCGGGCACCGGCTCCTGGGCGCCGCGCGGGTCGAAGCCGGCCCGCCACTCCAGCCCGGGGAACTCGCCCGCCTCCGCCGCCGGCACGTGCCGCGAGTGGAGGTCGTTGGCATGGACGGGATGGTTTCGCGACAAGCAGCTTCACGACAAGGAAGAGACAGATTCACGACAAGCAAGCCCACGTTCGCCGCCCACTTTCGCCGCCCACTTTCGGCGCCTACTTTCGGCGCCCACTTTCGCCGCCCACTTTCGGCGCCCACTTTCGCCGCCCACTTTCGGCGCCCACTTTCGCCGCCCACTTTCGGCGCCCACTTTCGGCGCCCCCTTTCGGCGCCCCCTTTCGGCGCCCACTTTCGGCGCCCACTTTCGGCGCCCACTTTCGGCGCCCACTTTCGGCGCCCACTTTCGGCGCCCACTTTCGGCGCCCACTTTCGGCGCCCACTTTCGGCGCCCACTTTCGGCGCCCACTTTCGGCGCCCACTTTTTTTCGGCGCGCCCACTTTCGGCGCCCCCACTTTCGGGCGCCCACTTTCGGGGCGCCCACTTTCGGCGCCCACTTTCGGCGCCCACTTTCGGCGCCCACTTTCGGCGCCCACTTTCGGCGCCCACTTTCGGCGCCCACTTTCGGCGCCCACTTTCGGCGCCCACTTTCGGCGCCCACTTTCGGCGCCCACTTTCGGCGCCCACTTTCGGCGCCCACTTTCGGCGCGGCGCACTTTCGGCGCCCACTTTCGGCGCCCACTTTCGGCGCCCACTTTCGGCGCCCACTTTCGGCGCCCACTTTCGGCGCCCACTTTCGGCGCCCACTTTCGGCGCCCACTTTCGGCGCCCACTTTCGGCGCCCACTTTCGGCGCCCACTTTCGGCGCCCACTTTCGGCGCCCACTTTCGGCGCCCACTTTCGGCGCCCACTTTCGGCGCCCACTTTCGGCGCCCACTTTCGGCGCCCACTTTCGGCGCCCACTTTCGGCGCCCACTGTCGGCGCCCACTTCGGCGCCCACTTCGGCGCCCACTTTCGGCGCCCACTTTCGGCGCCCACTTTCGGCGTTCCGTTCGCCGCCCACGTTCGCCGCCCACGTTCGCCGCCCACGTTTCGGCGCCCACTTTTCGCCGCCCACTTTCGCCCCACTTTCGCCGCCCACTTCGCGCCCACTCTCGCCGCCCACTTTCGGCGCCCACTTTCGGCGCCCACTTTCGCGCCCACTTTCGCCGCCCACTTTCGGCGCCGCGAACGAAATTCACGAAATGGGCGGAGTGAAAGCGGGTGGCGAGAAAGTGGGCGGCGAACGAAAAAGTGGCGGCGAAAGTGGGCGGCGAAAGTGGGCGGCGAAGGTGGGCGCCGAAAGTGGGCGGCGAAAGCGGGCGCCGAAAGTGGGCGGCGAAAGTGGGCGGCGAAAGTGGGCGGCGAAAGTGGGCGCCAAAAAAGTGGGCGCCGAAAGTGGGCGCCGAAAGTGGGCGCGAAAGTGGGCGCCGAAAGTGGGCGAAAGTGGGCGGCGAAAGTGGCGGCGAAAGTGGGCGGCGAAAGTGGGCGGCGAAAGTGGGCGGCGAAAGTGGGCGGCGAAAGTGGGCGGCGAAAGTGGGCGGCGAAAGTGGGCGGCGAGTGGGCGGCGAAAGTGGGCGGCGAAAGTGGGCGGCGAAAGTGGGCGGCGAAAGTGGGCGGCGAAAGTGGGCGGCGAAAGTGGGCGGCGAAAGTGGGCGGCGAAAGTGGGCGGCGAAAGTGGGCGGCGAAAGTGGGCGGCGAAAGTGGGCGGCGAAAGTGGGCGGCGAAAGTGGGCGGCGAAAGTGGGCGGCGAAAGTGGGCGGCGAAAGTGGGCGGTGGGCGAAAGCGAAAGTGGGCGGCGAAAGTGGGCGGCGAAAGTGGGCGAAAGTGGGCGCCGAAGTGGGCGCCGAAAGTGGGCGCCGAAAGTGGGCGCCGAAAGTGGGCGCCGAAAGTGGGCGCCGAAAGTGGGCGCCGAAAGTGGGCGCCGAAGTGGGCGCCGAAAGCGCCGAAAGTGGGCGCCGAAAGTGGGCGCCGAAAGTGGGCGGCGAAAGTGGGCGCCGAAAGTGGGCGGCGAAAGTGGGCGGCGAAAGTGGGCGGCGAAAGTGGGCGCCGGAAGTGGGCGCCGGAAGTGGGCGGCGAAAGTTGGCGGCGAAAGTGGGCGCCGAAAGTTGGCGCCGAAAGTGGGCGGCGAAAGTGGGCGGCGAAAGTGGGCGGCGAAAGTGGGCGCCGAAAGTGGGCGCCGAAAGTGGGCGCCGAAAATGGGCGCCGGAAGTGGGCGCCGGAAGTGGGCGCCGAAAGTGGGCGCCGAAACTGGGCGCCGAAAGTGGGCGGCGAAAGTGGGCGGCGAAAGTGGGCGGCGAAAGTGGGCGGCGAAAGTGGGCGGCGAAAGGGGGCGCCGAAAGTGGGCGCCGAAAGTGGGCGGCGAAAGTGGGCGCCGAAAGTGGGCGCCGAAAGTGGGCGCCGAAAGTGGGCGGCGAAAGTGGGCGGCGAAAGTGGGCGGCGAAAGTGAGCGGCGAAAGTGGGCGGCGAAAGTGGGCGGCGAAAGTGGGCGGCGAAAGTGGGCGGCGAAAGTGGGCGGCGAAAGTGGGCGGCGAAAGTGGGCGGCGAAAGTGGGCGCCGACAATGCTTGTCGTGAATACGCCATGCCTTGTCGTGTTTCAGTTTTCTCTTGTCGTGTTTCAGTTTTCCTAGTCGCGAGAACACCCGAGCTTTGTCGTTGGCCGGCGCGTCGTCCGCCTCTGGCTGGGCCGCCCCTGGCGCAGGCGTCGTGCTGCAGGCGAGTACCTCCGCGCGGCCCTCTTCTGGTAGTGCCGCCAAGCTGACCCGCGGGGCACTCCGCCAGCGACGCACGCGGGGTGGCGGAAATACCTATCAGGATTCGCCCCGCTCGCCAGGCGGACCGCCCCCGGCTCGAAGCCCCCGCAGCACGCACAGCAGTCGACTGCCACGCGTTTCCGGGCGGGTTGCTGGCTGGCCACCCAAGTGCGCACCCGTTGAAGGCGTCGGGCAGCGGCCGCAGGCGGTGCAGCGGCAGCGGCAGCAGCAGCGGCGCCTGCGGCGCTCCCCGGGGCAGCAGCGGCGCGAGGTGCGCCGCCAACTTGGGCTGCTCCGGAGGGCGCGGCAGCAGCCGCTCCGTCCGCATCCATGGCGAAGTCCGTCATCACCTCGTCGATACTCCTCCGCCTCCTCCATATCCACGTCGCCCCTGGCCAGGTCAGCTCCCGGCGCCGCCGCCGCAGCGCCAGCCGCAGCGCCAGCCGCCAGTACGACGCCGCCCTCCATGGGAGCGGAGTTGGGGGCGGAAGGCGGGGGAGGCAGTAGAAAAGCATGGCGGGCGAGGAGGGAGGCGGCCGGGGAAAGGCTGCGCGCGACCGGCCGCTGGCGCAGCCGGCCGGGGCAGCTGGCCCAGGCAGCTGGCCCCATCTCCTCCTCCTCTCCCCCCCTCTCCTCCTCCCCATGTTCCCCATCCTCCACCCCCCGCTCGAGGGTTGGCCCATCGTTTGGGAGCAAGCGCAGCAGGGCCACGAAGTTTCGGAAGCACTGTTCACCTCGTGCTGCTGCTGCTCCCCCTCCTCCTCCTCCTCCTCCTCCTCCTCCTCCTCCTCCTCCTCCTCCTCAGCAGCAGCAGCAGCAGCAGCAGCAGCATCGTCAGCATCAGCATCAGCATCAGCATCACCATCACCACCACCACCACCATCATCATCATCATCATCATCATCAGCAGCAGCATCATCATCATCAGCATCATCATAGTCATCATCATCATCATCATCATCATCATCATCATCATCATCATCATCATCATCATCATCATTATCAGCATCATCATCATCATCACCACCACCACCATCATCATCATCATCATCATGATCATCACCATCACCATCATCATCATCATCATCATCATCAACAACAACAACATCATAATCATAATCAGCATCATCATCCTCATCATCATCAGCAGCAGCATCATATCATCATCATCAGCAACAGCATCTTCATCACCACTTTCTCACTCGTCCTCCTCCTCCTCCTCCTCTTCCTCCTCCTTCCCAATGTGAATTACTCCTTCTCCTTTTTCCCCGAACTCCTCCTCCTCCTCCTCCTCCTCCTCCTCCTCCTCCTCCTCGTTCCTCTTCATCCTCCTCCTCATCCTCCTCGTTCCTCTTCCCCTGCCAGTCTTCAGACTGAGGCGTTGATTTTGCACGGAGTGCCCGCGCCGGTGCCCAGACTACAATCGCGCACTTCGGCGCCTGAGGGCCAGAAGCTCCCCGTGCCGCACCCGACATAGAGGGTCGAACACCTCCAAGGTGGAGGTCCGATCTGTCCATACCAGGAGCCCTCCGTTCTGAAAGTCCCCGTGCCTCCAGGATGGAAGCTCGATCTCCCGAGATGGAGGCCTTCCACCCTCCTCTTGTTGGCAGTGGGCGTGCCCAGCCAGCACCGCGGCCGGCGGCCGGCATCCAACCGGCGGCGGATCAGGGGGATGAGAAGCGCGACGAGGACAAAGAGGGGCCAAGCAGAAGACATCTGTATTTCAGTCGGGCCTGTCCCCCTACAGGGGGATTTTCGACGAAAAATGAGGAATACCCCAAAAATAATCAAAAAAGAGTCTGGGGACTATCTTTTGAGTATGCTTTGACCTTTTTGGGGTATTTTTGAAGTATTTTTTGTTTCTCGTCGAAAATCCCCATGTAGGGGAACACGCCCGACATAAATCTGTACACCACGACCCTCGCAACGGCCAGGGCCAGCCTGAGCCCTGGCACGGTGTGTACGCCCTCCTGGCCCAGGTCAGGAGTGCCCACTGATACATCATCATCATCATCATCATCATCATCATCATCATCATCATCATCATCATCATCATCATCATCATCATCATCATCATCATCATCATCAGCATCAGCATCATCATCATCGCATCAGCATCAGCATCAGCATCAGCATCAGCATCAGCTCAGCATCAGCATCAGCATCCTCATCTCATCCTCATCATCCTCATCCTCATCCTCATATCATCATCATCATCATCATCATCATCATCATCATCATCATCATCAGCATCCTCATCCTCATCATCCTCATCCTCATCCTCATCCTCATCATCCTCATCCTCATCCTCATCATCATCATCATCATCATCATCATCATCATCATCATCATCATCTCATCATCATCATCATCATCATCATCATCATCATCATCATCATCATCATCATCATCATCATCATCATCATCATCATCATCATCATCATCATCATCCTGGAGTGCCCACTGATACAAGGGCTCCCAACTTCGCGCTTCGCCCTGCGCGAAGCGCGAAAAACTTCGCGCTCTCGCGCCGCCCCCCCAAAGGGAGAAAAGGAGGACGAGGAGGAGGGGGAGAAGGAACGAGGACCGCGAAGCGCGAAGAACTTCGCGCCCTCGTGGGAGCCCTTACTGATGCAACATCCTGGGGCCCAGGATGGCATGGTGGTGGTCTACAATACAGATGCCTCCTGTGGAAAACCATCAAAGAAGCGGTTCCTGACGCGGCGGGGTCCTGGATCCCGCGTCTGCCACCCACGGCTAACTCTTCACCCTGAGCCGTCCTCGGTTCCAGGGCCTGTGGAGGGCTCCGAGAGCCCGACGACCGAGAAGGACCCGCTTCCCTCGCCCGTGTCTGTCTGCCTCGTGGCGGAGGAAATGACGACCTGCCAGACCACCCCAACCCAACCCGAAGACCCGAATTTCGGGTTGGGGGGGTAAGGGTTCCACATGTGTTTTTTCGATGTTTCCCGCCCCCCCCCCCTGGAAATCGAGGGTAAATTTGAGCCTTCGGGTTGGGTTGGGGTGGTTTGGTGGGTGGTGAGGAAAGACTTGGCATGCAGGAAACGGGTCCTGAGGGAAGCGGGTCCTGGACCCCTGTGGGCTTCCCTCGGCTACACGCAAGAGTGACCCTAGGTAAGAGTGACCTCTGGTGCGCAGACGAAGGGGGCGCAGCGTGACCACATCCAGGCGCGCCAGCAGCCGCTATCGCGTCACGCCGAGCGATCGGGGGGATCCAGACGAGCCCGCACCAAAGGTCACTCCGGCGAAGGGTCACTCTTACGCGTAAGCGATTTCCTCAGGACGTACTGTTCATTCTGAACGTTTCGGAACCATCCTGGAGCCCTGTAGGAAGCCCTGGGAAACCAAAAACCATGGGAAGCCTCAAGACCCGTCTCCCTCAGGCCCTGGTTGCTTCATATGGCAGGATCCGGAAAGCCTGGATCCTAAAAAGTTTCCATATCTTGGAAGGGCAGCTTTTACTTCTGCCGGAGGCGGCCTCGTTTCATTTCCGCCAGCTTCCGCTGCCTTCCGCCAGGGAAGAGAAGTGGAGTCAATCGATCGGTCTCTCGAATGCGCGGCCCTGCCTGGAGCGACCCTATGTGGCGAAAGAAGGGACGGGGGAGCGGAGGACACGAGGGGCAACGTTTGGGGAGGACCAGTTCTGGGGGAAACGCCAACGGTGGAATCGGCAATACATCGCCGATAGATCGGCAGTGGGCCCTCGATGTAGCAGATCCTACCAGGACCCTATCGGCGATCAATGGGCGATTAGGGATGCATCTCCCCTACAGTTGGCGTTGGCAAGATAGCGTGTAACAGTAATCTGCGAACAACACGCTGCTCCTGTGAGGCATTCCCCCCGCGGGGGCCCCTGCTGTGCAAGCTATAGTCCCCTGCCAGGGCTTCTTCGGTGCACGCTGTCCCTGAGGTGGGGGACGGCGTGTAATCTGCGGGCTGGCGGCGCTATATCGCACGCTATGGTGGCCAGGCCATAGCTGCCCACACCCGCGGCACGAAGACCGTATGACGTGACGTTGAATAACATATCTTATAACGCATGTCCCGCCCCCCCCTTCCCCAAGCCCAAAGTTGAAGCACCCACACTTTTGTCCTTCGCGCGCCGCCTCTCCTGCAACGCAGTCAACTTCAAGCTACGGGGGAGGGGCTATACACTTTGTTGGCTGCTCTTCGCTGTGCCGTCGAGGGCTTGACCTAAGGAACCCTAAATAAGGAACGAGGCCCCTTTTTTCCAGAAGTTCAACTGCGATTTCCCATCGAGAACATCGGAAAGCCTGAGGCAAGCTGCGAAACACTTAAGGAACGCGGAGCCCCTCCCCAACGAAAAGGCGTCCTTCCTCAGCGCCCCGACTGTAGCGTCGTCTTGGCGCGATGGGCGTGGACACTTTCTTGCAGAGGAACAGGCGACACACACTTCCGGAGGTCTCCGCGGATTTTTCCGGGGTCGGCGCCGGAGTCCCCTATGCCTGGCGCGCGGAGCACGCCAGGGGGCGGCGCCATGGCGCCACCAAGGGGGGGGCCCAGCGCAGATCCGAGAAATATCAGCGCGGAGCTCCAACAGCTTATTTTTGTGCAGCTTCTGTTTCTCCAACTTTTTCGTCCACCCACCGCACCTTCGCGACGCCAGCCCTGAGCCGGTTCCCCCCCCACGCTGCCCCCGAGGGCGGGCTCCAGAGCGCCGCGACGCCGCGGGCGCTTGCGCAAGGGGCTGGCAGCCGCGCGCGGCGGCTGTGAGCCGGCTACATGCCAGAGCGACCCCTATAGGCAAGAAAGACCTCTGCTGCGCGGCCGAAGGTCGGCACGGCCCACTGGCCCCGGCACCTTGAACCATCGATACCTGCCCTGCGCAACGCCCTGGCGATGCCCGATGAAACATCTGCTGTCTGCTACGCCCAGCTACGCCCCGCTGCGCCCCTGGACTCACCTCCCTCGATGCATGCGCAGGCATACCCTTGCGGACGCCCAGGCACCCAGGCCGGGAGCCTCGACGCGCGATGGCTGGGAGCAGAGCGAGGGGGCCGACCCAGGCCTATAGGGGAGGACCCCTGGGGGACACCGCCCGGCGCGCAGGCCGCTGCTGTCGCATCCCAGCCCGCGACCGGGGGGCCCAATCCTTGGGGGGCGGAAAGATACGGATACGTGTTGTCCCCGGACCTCTCTTGGGGTGCGTTCTGACCAGAATTTCGATGCGAATCCAGCGGTGACAACGAGGATTCCCCAGGAGGACCAGGAAAGGCCGAAAACGAAGGGGGACAACACGTATCCGTATCTTTTTCTCCTCCAAAATCTGGGCCGGCACCAGAGGCCCCTCCGGCGAAAGAGCGCTCTGACGCGTCGCCGCTGTGAGACCGAGACGAGGCGCGGGGCCCCAGCCCGGCGCGGGGGCCCCATCGCCGGGCGCGCAGCCACCAGCCCCGCCGGCAGCGCCCCGCGAGTCGCCGCGAGTCGGCGGCGCGGCTGGCGGCCACTCTACCCATGGGACGGCACCCTATACGGGGCTTCTCGCTGGGGAGAGGGTGGAAACGCCGGCATCCGCGATCGATGTCGGGTGCTGGTTGTAGCTCTTGCTCGGGCCCTGCGGACCAGCAAGGCCGCTACATGCAAAAACAGGACTGCTGCGCGAGGCTCGCCGAGGGGCCTGGGCGCCTCGCGCGGTGCCGGGGCCGCCTCCCTCGAGCGGAGCGGCGCTCACAGCGAGCTGCGGTTGCTCCACGCGCTGAAAGAGACGCAGCCGCTCCAGTAGTTCAGTCGGAAATTCCAGATGTGGTCCTCGCACACGAACTGGTCCATAGTCATCTTGGACACGGCCAAGGAGAAGAGCATGACCAGCATGCAGGACAGGACGAAGAGGGCCGCCAGCCGCGGCCTCAGCTCGTGCTGCAGCCCGTCTATTTCGCTGATGGCGGTCGCGCACCTCTCGGGTTGCTCGTGGCTGCCCTTCTGGATGAAGTCCTCTGCAACTGGTACCACAAACTTCTTGCAGCGTTGCCACACAGTCAAAACGTCCCACGCCCGCTTGGCCGTCACCACGACCTGGAATAGCATCAATCCCGAGGACAGCGTCGCGGCCGCGATACCGATCCACAGTCTCGTCGCACTGTGACAGTGACTCGGGTAGGCGGCGCACCGCAGGTAGTGGTAGGTCACCTGCAACTGCAGATGCAACGCTGAAAACAATATGCCTTTGAAACAGAATAACTGAATCTTGCCGTTCATTACTGACAGAACATCCTGTAAAAACTTACGCGTGCTGGCGAGGGCCTTGTCGACTGCGTCGCAGGATAGACTTGCGGCCTTGCCAGGAACAACACTGTAGGCTTCACGAGACACTGTTTCTAGGTAATTATCCATCGATGTGATTGTGCTCATTCCACTCCCCAAGCAAATATGGTCCAACGCTGCGCCCGTGGTCATCAGGTGCCTGAGAACGTTGTAATAAACAAACCGGGTTCCGTTGGGCCGTCGCAGGCCTAACAATGATATGCCTCCGACTTGGGGGCTCACGTACTCGATGACCTGAGGAGCCAAATCATTCCAGCGTGGACCACAAACAGTGAATTAGCACAGGACACGTGGCGCACTGGAAATCATCACAAAACGCTGCAAACCCATACAAAGCCATGCAAAGCGATGCAAAGACATGCCAAGCAATGCCTCACAATGCCAAGCCATGTCAGACAAGGTAATGCAATGCCAAGCAATGGAAAGCCATGCCAAGCCATGCAGAGTGATACAAAACCATGCCAAGCAATGCCCACCAATGCCAAGCAATGCCAGACAACGCAAAGCAGAGCCAAGCAATGCAAGGACAGCGATGCAAAGCCATGCCAAACAATGCCACGCAGTGGCCGGCAATTCCAAGCAGTGTGAAGCCATGAAAGACGATGCAAGACGATGCAAAGCCGTGCAAAACAATGTACTGGCCCGGCACCACGACGTGACGAAATGTTCAATTCGTCTCTTCAACGTGCCTTCGTTGTCCGCGTCATGCCCCACCAAGTAGCTCCAACCCGCGCACAGCACCGCACATCTATGCAACGCCAGGCAGAGCAGGGGAAAAGTACGCAGAGCAACGACATGCAAAACAACAAAAGGCAGCCCCAGTCAACGCAGAGCGTAGAGCGGCGCAGAGTGCCGCAGAGCTGCGCAAAGCAGTGCGGCGCGGCCACGGGGCCGCCGCGGAGCGGCAACGCAGCCGAGGAGCGGCAGCGGGGCAGCCGGCGGCAACGATGCAAAGATCTGGAAGCCGCAGTCGCTCAAAAGGGGCTCCAACTACAGCAACGACAAGCCAAAAATCCCGAAACCCGGTTTGCGGGGCACGGTCTCGGAAACCGTAGCCAACAAATGGGCGGCAACAACGAGCCGAAACTCCCGAAGCAATCGCCAGCAACAAACCAAAACAGTGGCGGCAGCGAGCAGAGAATCCGCAGAAACTGCAACCAGCAACGGGTCGGCAACAGGCGGCGCATAGAGAAACCGCAGACTTCCCTGGGAAACACACACAAGCAAAATCCACAGCAAGGTTGCAGGATGAGGATGAGAGGCCCCCGGAAGTCCCATGTGCCATTAAGAGCTCCTTGGACAGCAGCACTAGCTTAGTTTGGGCCGAATAAGCAGGGATGCAGTGGTAGCCATGATGAAGCAGCGAACCTGTCTTATTGACTTCGGAAACCCTCTGCTGGGCAGCACAGCATGCCCGGGACTGGCGTAGCGGCGCGTAAGGCTCTATCGGCGTACCTGCGCGCGCCCCTGAACTCTGCTGGTCCTCTTGGGCCGGCCACCCCATAGAGCAAGCACTGCTTGGGGAAACATGCGGGCAAAACTCTCGGACATCCGCGGGCGGCTGATACGCCGGCGCCAGACCCCCTCCCCACCCAAGCAATGCCGAGCGGGGTCACAGCCACCGAAGGGCCGCAACCACCTCCAGGAAGAGGCCCTCTCCATACACCATGCAGAACCTCCCCATGGACCCCCAGAGACGGCCCAAGCCCTCTCGACCCTCGCGTCGAGGGGGGAGGAGAGGAAAGGAAGGGAGGACATGAGGATATGAGGGGGGGGAGAATAATGGAGGTGGATGGCGGAGGATGGAGGATGAGGATGAGGATGAGGATGAGGAGGAAAGAGGAGGAGGAGAGAGGAGGAGGAGGAGGAGGAGGAGGAGGAGGAGGAGGAGGAGGAGGAGGAGGAGGAGGAGGAGGAGAAGAAAAAGGAGGAGGAGGAACAGGAGGAGGAGGAGGAGGAGGAGGAGGAGGAGGAGGAGGAGGAGGAAGAGGAGGAGGAGGCGGAGGAGGAGGAGGAGAAGAAGGAGGAGACGACCGTAATTGGGGGGTGTCATTCCCGCCTACGTGGGGCCAGGCCGCCCGACGGCGGCTGGCGGCAGCAGGCCACGGGGCGGCAGCGGCAGCACGTGCGCGCGAGGCGCACGCTGCAGGCGGGGCGCACCAGGGATCACCTGGCCGACCATGCAGCCGCCGAACTCATTGCGCACGATGTGAAAGGGCGCATTTGTATCATGAAGAATGGGTTTGGGAGCAGCAGCAGGAGGGCTCGGAAGCAAGGGACGAGGAGGGGCGAATGCAGGACGGGAGACAGGCGAGAAAAGACAGGGTGCCACACGGGGCAGACGAGCTTCTGTCGAGGCTGCCCGCATGGGCACGAAACATGCGGGCCTGGGCGACACGATGGTGGGAGGAGTGGGGCGGATCACCAGGCACAGGGCGGACAGGGCGAGCGAAAGAAATGAGGGAACAACAACAAGGTCGAAAGGGGAAGGAGGATCTAAGAACTCGGAGGCCTCAGGAGCTCAGAACACGATCGAACCTGTTGTTCACTGAGCGGCAGACAGCCTGACGCGCCTCCACGAGCCGACATCGGTGATGGGAACCACGCGCAGCACGAACACGACGGCGAGGTTGACAGGGTCCTCCGCGACGCCGGCCATCTCGCAACCGCAGACGTCCCGCGGAACCGAGAAGAACAGGAAGCAGCGGGAATTAGCTCCAACCCCTCCCTGGCGACTTCGAGCCCGAACGCGACGTCGGGACTTGTGTTCTAACATCCCCAGCGGCAAGGGCAACGGTGCATCCGACATGTGGCGACGTCGAGCTCGAACGCGACAGCGGGACTTGCGCTCTAACGCCACCGCGGCCCGCAAGGGCAACGGCAGATCCGATGCGCGGCGACCCTGTGCCCGAACGCGGTAACGGGATTTGCGCTCTAACGCCGTCACCCGCCAGGGCAACGTCCAATCCAGCATGTGGCGACGTCGAGCCCGAGGAGACCATCGGGACTTGCGTTCTAACATGTCCAGCAAAACAAGAGGTCGTTTCATGTGGCTGGAGATGCATGGATGGGCTGGAGTGGGCATGAACCTCACCAGGGCACACATCTGGAACCAACTGAGACCAGTCACCATCATATAGATCAGAGAGGGGCCCAACTCGCTCGGGCGCGGCAATCTCCGTCGACGGGGTACGCGGGCAGAACGCAAGTGGGGTCGGCGGGCGCGTATCCACCATCACGAGATCATCATCATCCTCAGGCTCAGAAACCAGAATCGGCGTCATCCCAGGGCTCGGAGGGTCAGACCGCAGCGGGCCGCAAGTGGACAGCGGCGAGAGACCAGGGCTCAAGGAGACAGAGACCACGTCGTCAGATGACCCCTCGCTGAGAGAGACCGCCGGGAGAGACTCGACGGGGATGTCGGACAGCGCGGAATCGGAAGAAGCCGGCGACGAGGACGAGGACGAGGAGGTCGAAGCGCGACGACGAGAGCGACGATGCGCAAGGGGAGCGCGCCCGATGCCATCGACCAGCGCCGACGGCGAGGCCATCTCCATCGCCCGCGCACCCATCAAAGCAGCGCTGTGCGCTGCACTCTCCGCAATAGGCCCGCGAGGGATACGTCGCACAGCATTGTACAGTCGAGGCGTTGACCCAAGGAACCCCAAATAACTAAGGAACGAGGCCCCTACTTTCCTCAAGCTGAACCTCGATTTCCCATCGAAAGCCTAAAGAAAATCCAGGGCAAGCTGCGAAACAATTGAGGAACACGGAGCCCCTCCCCAACGAGAAGGGTTCCTTCTCCAGGGCCCCGACTGTATGCACCATGGGGCAGCCGCCGGGATAGCCGGGAGCTCCGCGCGCGATAGGGGGAGACCGGACCCCCAGCGCTCGGCGAGATCCAGCGGCACGGGGTGCCCGAGCGCAGGGCGGAGCGCCCTGCGAGAGCGAACGCATCTGGCAGAATGCAATAATGAGTCGGGATAACCCACGCTGGCTACCTACCAGACCACCCCAACCCAACCCGAAGACCCGAATTTCGGGTTGGGGGGGTAAGGATTCCACACGTGTTTTTTCGATGTTTCCCGACCCCCCCCCAACTGGAAATCGAGAGTAAATCTGAGCCTTCGGGTTGGGTTGGGGTGGTTTGGTGGGTGGTGACACGCATCCGAATGCACACGATCGCTTGCCAGCTCGATGCAAGATGCGGTGCGAAGTGGGCCCGCCGTCGCACCAAGTGCGAACCGCCGCCCAGGCCCACGAGCAGGGGCGCTTCTGCATCTGGGAAGAGATCGCACTTCCAGCTGGCCGGGTCGACCAGGTCACCGTGGCGAGCGAAACAGATCCCGAAGACGGCCACGGAGAAACTGGCACAGAGGATCCACGCTCACGCCACCTCACGCAGGGCACGATGGATCACCCGTTGCGGCCTCGGGCGAGTCCCAGACGCAGCCCCCAATCGCAGGCTCGAGCGCGCGGCGCGCCCGGACCGTCGACTCCCCCCGCGGACCTGCGGCAACCTTCCCCGAGAGGACGCCGCTCGTGGCTCTCGACAACGGCAGGGCTCTGCCAAAGCGAGGGGTAGCAGCGGCCGTCAGAGCGCACGTCGAGCGCTCTGGCGTCGGCACGAGGCTCCGCGTGCGCGCGCAGGCCCTGCATGAGGAGGCGGCGCCCAGGGAAGATGTGCGTCGCCGCCCGCATGAGAGAGGCAATGTTCAGATGTGCCCAGCGCGTGACTCCGAGGCCCTACAACCGACCCAGCTGCACCCAATCATTCAGGGTTAGAGTGCCCAACGCGACGCGATAGACCTGCGAAAAAACATGGGGCGCCTTGACGCTTCTTGGATGCTTCTTGGGGTCCCTCGGGGGTCTCCGGGAACCTCTGAGGGGCCCCCTGGGGGCTCCCTTGAGCTCCCCGGGGGCTTCTCCAGCGCAAGGGCGGCAAAATCCATTCGGGGCCTTCGTCCGAGACCCTCGCTGGGAGCGGCCTTGGTGGCATCGTGGGGGTTTTGGCGCTTCTTGGGACGTCTTGGAACCCCCTTTGGGGGCTTCTGTGGCGTTTTTCGGATACTTGGGGGTTGGGGCGCTTCTTGGGGCGTCTTGGAACCCCCTTTGGGGGCTTCTGTGGCGTTTTTGCGGAGACCTCTGGGGCCGCCTTGGACGCTGGGAAGGCAAATCAGGCGAACGCGCGAAAAAATACATCCTATTATCCCGGCAAAGCAACCTAACAGCGATGTGTAGGAGCATATCTGGAAGCATTCCCCGTAAGATTCAGATGCGAATCCAGTTGTAGAATTCTGCTGTTCTCGCAGTCGTAGTCGCATTCGCGATGACAGTCGCAGTGGCAACGGCAGTCGCAGTCACAGCCTCAGCCTAAGCCTGCCTCAGCCTCAGCCTCAGCCTCAGCCTCAGCCTGCCTCAGCCTCAGCCTGCCTCAGCCTCAGCCTCAGCCTGCTCAGCCTCAGCCTCAGCCTCAGCCTCGCCTCAGCCTCAGCCTGCCTCAGCCTCAGCCTGCATCAGCCTCAGCCTCAGCCTCAGCCTGCCTCAGCATCAGCCTGCCTCAGCCTCAGCCTCAGCCTGCCTCAGCCTCAGCCTCAGCCTGCTTCAGCCTCAGCCTCAGTCTGCCTTCAGCCTCGGCCTCAGCCTCAGCCTGCCTCAGCCTCAGCCTGCATCAGCCTCAGCCTCAGCCTCAGCCTGCCTCAGCATCAGCCTGCCTCAGCCTCAGCCTCAGCCTGCCTCAGCCTCAGCCTCAGCCTGCTTCAGTCTGCCTTCAGCCTCGGCCTCAGCCTCAGCCTGCCTCAGCCTCAGCCTGCATCAGCCTCAGCCTCAGCCTCAACCTGCCTCAGCCTCAGCCTCAGCCTCAGCCTCAGCCTGCTTCAGCCTCAGCCTCAGTCTGCCTTCAGCCTCGGCCTCAGCCTCAGCCTGCCTCAGCCTCAGCCTCAGCCTCAGCCTCAGCATCAGCCTGCCTCAGCCTCAGCCTCAGCCAGCCTCAGCCTCAGCCTGCTTCAGCCTCAGCCTCAGTCTGCCTTCAGCCTCGGCCTCAGCCTGCCTCAGCCTGCCTCAGCCTCAGCCTCAGCATGCAGCCTCAGCCTCAGCCTCAGCCTCAGCCTCAGCCTCAGCATCAGCCTGCCTTCAGCCTCAGCCTCAGCCTGCCTCAGCCTCAGCCTCAGCCTGCTTCAGCCTCAGCCTCAGTCTGCCTTCAGCCTCGGCCTCAGCCTCAGCCTGCCTCAGCCTCAGCCTGCATCAGCCTCAGCCTCAGCCTCAGCCTGCCTCAGCATCAGCCTGCCTTCAGCCTCAGCCTCAGCCTGCCTCAGCCTCAGCCTCAGTCCTGCTTCAGCCTCAGCCTCAGTCTGCCTTCAGCCTCGGCCTCAGCCTCAGCCTGCCTCAGCCTCAGCCTGCATCAGCCTCAGCCTCAGCCTCAGCCTGCCTCAGCATCAGCCTGCCTCAGCCTCAGCCTCAGCCTGCCTCAGCCTCAGCCTCAGCCTGCTTCAGCCTCAGCCTCAGTCTGCCTTCAGCCTCGGCCTCAGCCTCAGCC